CAAAAGGTTAAGGGGTGGTATCAATCGACACGGACTGCCTGTCGGAAAAGCAAAGCGATCAGTGCAGGCATGGTCGATTTCGATGCTTGTTCATTGATTGACATGGCAATTGGCTTGATTGATTGAGGAGAGTTACATGGGTGTGCACGTCGGAAACGGAACACTTCGAGGACTGCAGCGCGCAGGACACGAGAATAAACCACAAAAAGCCTCAGAGAAGCAATTTGCAGCTTCCTCACCCAAAATAACACAAACTCTGCGCAGAGAAAAAGCATCAGGACGGAACAAAAGGTGTCAACGTCAGCGAAATAGGATTGGAACATGCAGACATGGCAACAACTAGCAGGTACTGGGCACCTCGGTGCTCCTGCTTCAGGTGTTGAAGACATTGTACAACATGATGATCAACATGATCATAACTCTCTGCTACTAGAACGCGCACAAAGCAACAGCATAACCCGCAGCGCCGTGGCACCACAGGCACCTGCCACCCTACTGATGTGTCTGGCAAGGCCACACCCCTGGCAATGGCACCTGCCCAACACACCTACTGGCTGACACAGGCTGCATGAGAGTACTAACAGCACAAGACATGCAACCACATGTAGCAAAACGGATCAAAGAGCAGAGGATGCAAGAAATAACCCCAATTCATGCTATGACGCAGAGGCCAAGTCCCTTCTTGGTGCTAGCTGCAGCCGGCCTCAACCACGCGTAAAAAGGGGTGATCAGCTGGCACAATATCCAGCCAGGTCAAGGGTGCCGCCTTGATGACTATGAAGTCAACCAGCAGCTCCCAAAACCTAGCCACCGCCGCCTTCTTCTTCGTCTGCACCAGCTCATCAAGCTCCTGCTGTCGCCGCTGCTGAAGCTGTAGCTGCTGCTGCTCTCTGTGCTGCCTCACTGCCTCATTATGAGCCAGTTGCGCAGCTGAGGGAGTAGCAGGCTGCAACAACTGAGTGATAAGCTGCTGGTCAGCAGGTGGCGCCCGGGCAGGGCCACCTGCTGGACTGGCAACAGGTCATGCTGCCTGTTTAGCACATGCTGTAGGTTGGCTGCCCTCCTGCCAACATCCATAGCATTGAAGGCCGCCAAAACACACGCCACACCGGACCACCGCCACACGGCGGGCATGAGCTGGCAGTGCTGAGCAGCACCACCATCCGCGTCCCACACACATTGCGGCCGTTGTGTGACAAAAGTGCTGCGTTCTGCTGGTAGAAAGCCCTAAAGGTGCATGGCTGCATGCATACTACAAAATTACTTGTATAAGCATTGAATACATGCTGCGGATCCAGGGGGCGGTGGCGGAGGTGGCGTGACGCATGGACGTGCTAGGCTCAATTCTTCTACCATATGGATCTTGCTACCACGCGCTTGGCGCAAACAGCAGCGGCAGTGCCCAGTAATGGTGGTCATACCCCAGGGCATACCACTGCACCACACAAGCAAGCACGCTGCACGCTCGGCATGCGAGCAGCAGTAGGACACCATTCAACACCACACGCCAGAACACCTCTTTGATGCGGTTATCCCAGCGCAACTTCCATAGTTTACGCTGCGCAGCGGTCACACTACCAACACCATCCCTAGTCGCTGCTGAATTTAAGTTATTGAGTGCAAGGACCACAAACTGACGTTTCCGGAGCCTGCTGCTCAACACGCAAAATACGCAGCTGCAAGGCGGTAGCTGTCTTCACGGACAGCCGCCTGATGGAGCAAGGCTTGCCTGCAGGCAACAAATACCAGCCAAGCCGTGAGACCAGCATGCATTCAACAAATTCTTCTGCCTCAGATGGACTGCAGGAGCAGAAGGCAGAACAGCTGGCCATCCTGCTCTTGCTGCCTCGCTTGCAGCAGCTTGTGTCCATGCAAGAGGCACATTATACAGCAAGTTGAGGCAAACTCGCCCTCAGCATTGCTGCTGTTGCATGGGATCAGAGGGTGGGGCAGTTTGGCTTGTACCACACGTTCAATCACACGATGAGACCTAACCAAATCCCCAAGTGTACGAATGGTGGGCCTGACCTTCCCGCCTGTGTAGTAGAATGCACCTCTAGCCGGCGGAACAGGCAACACATGCAAACCACCCGGCCTAGCACCAGGGATAACCCCAAGCAGGAAAGAATTGGCAAAGACAGGGGCCAAAGCACACCAAGGCCCAGGCTGTAGAACCGGGGCACTGGAAAGGACAGCCATCTGCTGGCGCAATTGATCCACACCTGGGGACTGCTGCCCTGGAGGCAGGGGCGGCTGCGTCTGCAATGGCTGCTGCTGCTGCTTCTGCTGCTGTTGTGGCAGCGGTTGCCGCTGCTATAGCGGCAGCGCTTGCTGCTGCTGTAGCGGCAGCGATTGCTGCTGCTGTAGCGGCAGCGGTTGCTGCTGTTGTACCGGCAGCGCTGGTTGCTGCTGCTGTCGCTGTTGTTGCTGTTGTTGTTGCGGTTGCTGCTGCTGCTGCTGCTGCTGCTGCTGCTGCTGCTGTTGCTGTTGCACATCACACACATCCCCCAGTGCTTGCAGCCCAGATATCATGCGGCGCAAAGGTGGCGGTGGCACCCCAGCCCACTCAGCTGGTGACTGGGTGTCAGCTGCGCAGTCAAAAAGAGCCAGAGGGCCCCACCAACAACACTTGGAGCGCAGGCAAGCTCTGCCAATGTTGACCCATGGAATGTCTGTATCACGAGGCGCAGTAGCAAAGAACGCCCCCCACCATGCATGCGAGCAATCATATGCTCATACCAAGGCAACACACCTAAGGCACCATCGGCTGGTCTGCCAACAAGAAGTCGCGCAGGAATGCCGCTGAACTTTCTAGTGACATCCGAGGGTGCCAACCCCCTGTCAACCAACTTGGCCACCTTGGCCTGCAGATGCTGACACTGTTGCGCGGAAGGCAGGTCTGAGAACTCCGCAGCATACAAGAGTTTGTTCAAATCCCGGTCCAACCGCCCGTGGCTGGGCTAAATAAGCAACTGGAATTGACGGATTTGTGCGGGTGGTTTCGATCGCCCAAACAATGATGAAGAAACTGGGTACAATTACGAGAAACCCTCATGAGCGGAACAACGGCTCGCTGGGCCAGTGCCTGAGGCAGGTTCAGTCCTGTACTACTGTATTGTATTGTATTGTATTAACCCCGTATGACGCACTGCCCATACCCCTGCCAAAAATGGACGGCGCCTTTACGCGGGACAACCTTGTCAAGGCTGCTTCAACTCCCTGCACTTTCTCCTCCCAACTGAGAGGGGAAGATGCCCCAACACACACACCCAGCGCATTAGCCTGCAAGGTTGGAGTAAGCTGCGAGGCAATTGGCGCGGGCTGCTGCTGCTGCTGCTGCTGCTGCTGCTGCTGCTGCTGCTGCTGCTGCTGCTGTTGCTGTTGGAACTGCATGCGCACTGCTCGCCCAACTAGGAGAAGTTGTGTCTTTTGGAGGTTGAGGTGCTGGCCGGATGCAGCAGCCATGCGTTGCATGTAAATCAAAAAACGGCTGCACTGCATCCATTGAAGGCAGGTACACCTGAGTGTCGTCTGCAAACTGCGTAGCACACAGGCGGTGGCCGAGCACTGTCACGCCAACCCCCTTGGACGTCAGGAAACGGAGCAATGCTTCACCAACAAACAGGTACAGAAGCGGTGACAACCGGCACCCCTGTCGCACACCGGCTTTGAACACCCGCTGCTCTGACCTGAAACCATTGATCAAGTTACAAGCACGTGTGGCAGTCAGCAATGTTTTAGCCCAGGAGCAATAGCCGGTACCCACACCCATTGCACTCATAGTATCCAGTAAAAACTGCCTATCGATGGTGTCATATGCTTTTGCAAAATCCAACAAGGCCGCCACCACACCACCATTGCTGGGCACGGCATGCATCAGCAGCTGGACATCAATGATGTCATGCCCATCCGCCTGCCCTTCAAAAAAGCTGTCTGAGTGGGGGCAATAGCACCACCCAATACCACCTGCAGCCTATTCGCCAGGATCCGCGCAAGTAAACGGTAATCCAAGTTCAACAGCATGATAGGTCGGTAATTAGCAGCCAAGGTAGTCTTGCCAGCTTCAAAAATACCCACAATCACCCCATCCAAGAATCCCACGGGGGTGGTGGCCAGAGCACCAACAGCTCTGAAATCCTGGGCCAAAACAGGAATAAGAAGGTCCTGGCAATGCTTGTAAAACACTGCTGGCAACCCATCCAACGCCGGCGATGACGCTGGCTTGCATGCCGCAAGCGCCTGTTTGATCTCTGCTGTTGTCACATCAGGAGGCTGCAGGGGGCGGCTGCGCACTGCTGCCAGCACTTCGGCCTGCGCTGTTGCATCCACCTGCGGCCGCCTGCTGACCCCTGCCCACTGTGCAATCGCAACTGAGGCAGGGCCTGCCCCCTCCCATATAAAGTTGCCGGCGGCAGAGCGCAGGGCAATCACTCTGCGAGACTGACCCCCCCGCTGCACTGCTGCCAGCTGACTAGTAATGTGGGCATTCGGCTGCTCTCCATGATGTAGCCAAGCCTGCCGCTGCGCCCTGGAGCTGTTGGCCCCAAGCTGCTGTTTGTGCGTCCCTCAATGCACCTCTGGCTGCTGCTACTGCTGCCACAGCAGCATCGGCCTGTTGCTGACTGGCGGCCGCAGGCAAGTTCCCAAGCTGCTCCACTGCGGCTGCTACCTGCTGCTGCAGCAGAGCAAAGGACCGTGGTGCCGTGTCTGTACGCCAGCGTTTGCGCACAGTTCTGGCCATCCACAAGGCCTTCTTCTTGAACCCCCGGCCACCACTGCAACAGAGCCACATTGCCCGTAGGCATGCCCTCCAGTTCCCTGCGCAACCAGTGCTTGAACTGACGATTGTGATTGTTGCTATCCTAAAAGTCAAATTTCGCCCGGCTCACACCCGGGCCAATTGGCTGAGGGGGAACGGCACACAACATATAACATGTCCTCTGCACGTCACAACTGTGATGTGTTGCTGATCAGCACAGCACATGCGGCTTTCTGCAATTGGTTGGGTTATTTAATGGTAGAACCAACATGGTATGCTGGAGACCCGGGTTCAAATCCCGGTCCAACCGCCCGTGGCTGGGCTAAAAAGGCAACTAGAATTGACGGATTTGTGCGGGTGGTTTCAATCGCCCAAACAATGAAGAAGAAACTGGGTACATTTACAAGAAACCCTCATGAGCGGAACGACGGCTCGCTGGGCTAGTGCCTGAGGCAGGTTTAGTCCTATACTTCTGTATTGTATTGTATTGTTGTATTACAATGCACAGCCTCACATGCACAGTGCCTGGCATCCAAGGGTGATGATCAAGGTGATGAGGTATACCCTGTGACACATATTCGAATTCCTTAGTTGGTGGACTGCAGCAACAGCTACACCCTCTCTTCAGGGGAAAATTTGCTCCAGCTACGTAGCTATGTATACATGTTGGTGTGGTGGCAGCTACTCAGCCATGAGTGTCGTCACTGGACATGCTTAGCGGCATTGCTTGCATGCACTGGTGATGACTGCTGGTGTGGCTGGCCAGCCATGGGCACTGCAGGACTCCATGATGGCAGCATCGCTGCGTCACGGTAACGCGATGATACTGCTGCTGGGCGTCGGTTGCTGCCTGGTGATGTGCGCACCCCAGCAGTGACGGATCACAGATTGTGTTGTGATACGGAGCACAATGAGTGGCATGGTGCTCTTGGTGGGCTTGCTGTGCGAGCTGCTGCAAACTTTATGCACCGACCAGAAGCATGGCATCCGCACGGAATGGCACAACATCACTATATGTAACTTAAACAACATCATATGATGAGCGCCGCTCGTTCTGTGCTGGCAGAAAGTGCCGCCCGTTTCTGCTACGACGGAAACCGCACTGCGGCAGGCCATACCAGTGTGCATGGCTGCATGCATGCTCCGAACATGTTTTTTTGTTACAACACGAGTTAATGCATGCGTGAGTAATGGCGGGAGCCGCAACCTCCGAGGGTGCGCCGCAGGTGTGCCGTGCAGGTGGTTACTGTTTGACTCCTGCAACCAGCCAGCCATGATGCTTGAAACCGCGTAAAATGGGTTTTCGCTGATTATTACTACGTCCCAACATGGAATGTTCAGCCGAAGCCTCGCCCTGTGCATAGTTGTCGTTGTGAAGCACTCGCCTGCAGCACGACAAGGCGCCGCAGCTGTTAACTACGAGAGAGCAACACACGTACCGTACAATCCACAGAAAACGAATAAAATGTCGACTTTAGCATTGCTGGCAATGCAGAGTCGCTGCTCAAACAACAGCAGCATTGGTATGCGGCTGCTGCTGCTACAGCTGCTGCTGCAGCAGACAGCCGTGGTGTTCAGGTTTCGTCCCGGCTGGTTGACGAAGCCACAGTGACCAAATAGTGGTAGCACGCCATGATGATGCGTTGGGGCTGGGTAGCTGGGGCAACAAAGCCGTGCATGTAAGTATATTCACAGTGTGTAATCAGCAGAGGTGTTGCCGGCGGCAGTGCCAAAATTGAGTAAGTTCCCGTCGTGTAACATCCAAACTGTGAGTGACACAGTGCTGCCCATAAGCAGCTGCGCTGCCAGACTGGTAGTGCAAAACATGCTCTACACACTGTGTTTGTTCCCTTAAAATGTGGTTGACTGGCTGAGGGGTCTGGAGTACGCCCCGGTGGCACTCGCCCGCACACACCCAGCACACTGCGTGCTACTTCTGCTACCAACGGCCACGCCCAGCCGGCCTAGGCTGGGGCCTGCCGCTGGCCCTGCCGCTGCCGCGCCCGCTGCCCCTGCTGCCGCGCCTGGCCTTGACCCCACTGCCTCGTCCACCTCGCCGCCAGAGCCACTGCCGTGCTGGTCACCAGCATCCGAGGTGTCACTGGTGGTGTCCTCACACGGGTGACTGGAGTCGGGTGGCGATTGGTGCGCCGCGCCTGCCTGCCGGCGCTGCTGCTGCTGCTGCTGCTGGCGCAGGCATGCTGCATCCTCGCCATCGTCATCGCTCTGGTCTCCGCTGCTGCTGCCACCTGCATCATCCCCAAAAGCATTGTGAGGAGCAGAGCGCTGCTGCTGCTGCTGCTGCTGGGCTTGGCTGCGCCGCCGCCAGCTGCCTGGTGCCGCCTCTGCTGCTGCTGCTGCAGCGCCCTGCCCTCCTGCTCCCGCCGCTTCACCGTTTGGCAGATAGTCATCTTCATCGCTGTCCACTGCACTTCTCCTTCGCTTGCCAGCTGCAGTTGTCACCCGACTCCGCTGCCTCCCACCCCGCCGGCGCTGCTGCTGCTGCTCATCTTCGTCCGCAGCGTCCTGCTGCACCAGCCGCTGCAGCTGCTGCCGTGCCGCAGCACGGCCTCGCCGGCCCTGCCTGCCTTGCACGACAGCGGGACCGCCGTCCGCAGCAGCTGCAGCTGCAGCCTCTGCAATGACACCCGCCCATGCTGCAGCTCTGCTGCTGCCAGTCAGCAGGCCAGCTACAGCCAGCTGCCGCTCCAACTGCTGGTCAAAGCCCTGAACGTCAAACCCGCCATCAGTGCCGACAACACCACCTGCTGCTGCCGCATTACAAGGCCCAGCAGCAGCAGCAGCTGCACGGGACGACCCTGCTGCTGCAGCTGCTGAACTTGAAGGCCCAGCTGCTGCTGCTGCTGCTGCCGGCCCTGGCAACAGTGGCGCCGCCTGCGGCAAGCTCGGCGGAGCAAACAAGCTCTCCAGCTCGGCAGCGCGCACCTTCTGACTGTCTGCCTTCAGCGCACCGGCTGTTGCCTGCGCCGATGCTGCTGCCGCGCTGCGAGCGCCGTTGGATGCGCCTGCTGCTGCTGCCGCTGCTGGTGCCACGTCAGCCCAGCGGCTGGTGCCTGGCACGTGCGCGCCGCAGCGGCGAGCCTCCGCCAGCTGCATGACCTTCTCCTCGACAGAGCCCTGCCAAACGAAATGACACACGGCGGAGTTGCGGGCAGTTGGTGCGTCGATGTTGGAGGCTGGCACATGGCACCTTGCCGCAAAGGGCAGCACCCCTGCTGCCGACCATGACAACAGCACGCGACCCCGCCACCACTCATGACAGCGGCAGCGTTGACCCTGACACTGGCGGGGGGAGCAGCAGTAGCAGCAGCTTGCACTCATACTGCCCTGCGGGTGGACGGTGGTGGGCGACACCTGGTGGACCCTCCCTCACACTGCTGAGCTGGCGGTCCAGCCGTGTGCAGTGCGCACCTTGACAAACAGCCGCTTGACCACCACCTCCCGCCGCTGACCCATGCGCCACGCACGCCCTGCACGGCGGCAGCAGCAGCAGCAGAGTACGGCGACCAGTCAGGCGCAGGTTCAGTGGCAGTTGACCGTTGTGCTCGGGCTATCACTGAACGCAGACACCCACTCATCAACAGTCGCAGGTTGAACACGCATGCGCCTGGATGCCTGACACAACTGGCCACACAGCCGCAGCAGCGTCGAGGCCTTGGTGCCGGTTCAGCAATGTAACACAACAGCACCAGTAGGAACAAACCAAACCTGCCTCAGGCACCGGCCCAGTCAGCGGGTGTTGCGCTCATGCGGGTGTGCATGTGGCGTGTTGCCGGTGCTCACCGATGGCCTGTTCCTCGAGTGCCGGGTTGAGGCAGGGCTCCAGCAGGAACACGTGGTTGGCCGCGGTCAGGTTGATGCCTACGGCACCCGAGCGCACGCTCAGCAGGAACACTGCGGTAGCAGCCGGCGCAGCAGCAGGGGCGGCAGCGGGTGGAGCTGCAGCAGGCACGAGGGTGGCGCGGCTGCCAACTGCTGCCAGGCGGCGCACGCACCACACACCTCTGCTAGGTGCACGCCCTCGCCCAAGGCGGCCAGGGGCTGGAGCGTCACTCCGCACAGCCCTGGCATGCGAGACGATGCACAGCAGAGCGCGCCCCACCCTCGCCTGCCTCTGAAAGCAATTCTTTCATGGTGCCTCTGCGATGGTTGGGGTGTGCTGGTTGACAGGCATGCAGTCAAACACTCAAACCTGTGACATCACCACCACAGAGCAACCCCTCTCGCGCCTGCTGCTGGCGGCGGCTACATTACTCTGTGCGACAGCACCACCGCACAGCACCTGCCCCTACACCTGTGGTGGGCGGGTCCCTCTGGAAGTTCTCGATGGCCTTGGTGCGCTGGTTGAGCGGCATGCTGCCACTGATGGAGCGGTAGCCGAAGCCGGCAGCAGGCAGCGCCTTCTTGAGCCACTCCAGCGTGCTGTTGTACTGCGTGAACACCAGCGCCTGCGGAGAGGCAGTCGGTGCGGTGTTTGGTGCATGCTGAGTGCGCGTCAACGCGCTGCATGGAGGCCACAACGCAAGGTGACCAGTCCTGCAGCTGGCGGCGCCCGTCCCAGCAAGCCGACCCCTGGCGCTGTGGCCACTGCTGCCATCGGCGGCTCAGCTGCAGCGGCTGGGGATGCACTGCACGGGCAAGCCCCAAGCACACACACTGTTGAGCTGCGGCTGCCACAGGCGGCTGCATCACACCGCTTGCAGGCATCTGAACAGGCATCCCAGCAGAAACAGGGGCGCACCTTGCTGCTGGGATCGGCGGCGCGCATTGCGGCCAGCTCCTGCAGGAGCAGCAGCGCAGCGCAGCCGCAGCCGCAGAACTCTCAGCACAGCACGGCAGAGCTCCTGAGCCAGCAGGCAGGCACACGGGGTGACGGCCGCACTGCTTGCGTCATGGCGGCAGCAGTGTGGAACACGCAAGCAGGCACACGGGATCCACAACATGCACCCGCCCCTCAAGCCTGTTGTAGAGGTGCTGCTGCTGCTGCCACCTCATTCATACAGGACCGGCTGCTGCTTGGCCGGACTAACCCGGGCAACCGCGTCACCCTGCCTCCCCTGGCACGCAGCACATGCACAGCCGGAATCGTCGCCCTGGGGCGGCTTACACAACATCACTGGGATGGTGCCCGATCTACCTTTCTTGTTTGATATACCATTTCTCAACACAACCACTGCAAGCAGCCCCGCGACATTGACTAGCTCAGGCGCTGCCCAAGAGCCGCCGCTGCCTCACCTTCAGCAGCACCTTGAGTTTGCTGTCGCACACCACCACGCGCGACCCGTCCCC